AGAGATCTGAGAGATTGATATTGGGTATCTTTCCCTGATCACTCTTCAACTTCTTTTTTTTTTAAGACAGGTTCTTTCCCTGAACCTGAAGCTGATGATTAGATGAGGCAGCTGGGCCAGTGAGCTTCAGGGATCTGTCTTAACCTTTCCAAGGCTAGGGTTAAAGGCACATGCTGTCATCCCTGTCTTTTGATTTGGGTTCTGGGACCCAATCTGAGGTCCTCATGCTTGCACAGTAGACACTTTAACTAACTGAGCCATCTTCATCTTTGCAGTCCCTTGAACATTTTTTACAGCATGTATTTTTTTAATTATTGCATTTATTTATTTATGAATGTCTGCCATGGCATCTGTGTGGAGCTCTAAGGACAGCCTGAGGGAGTCTGTTCTCCTTCCCCAGTATGAGTCCTGGGGATTGAACTCAGGTCATCAGACTTGGCAGCAAGTGCTTTTACCTACTGAGCCATCTTGCATTCCACCATTGAACACTTTTATATGATGAAGTAAAGATCAAATGAGTAAGAAATTTCACAGGCAGAAGAAACGGCTCAGTAGTTAAGAGTGCTTGATGCCCTTACAGAGGACCAGAGTTCAGTTCCCAGCACCCACATCACAACCACCTGTAACTGCAGCTCCAGGGATCCAGCACCATCTTCTGCCTCCTTGGACACCAGCACACACACGCACACACACACACACATAAGTAATGAAACAAATATTTTTAAATGTTTCAAATATATAAAAAAGAAAAAATGGCATTCAAATTTCTAATCTTACGTATTTTCTGATAGAAAATGTTAGCTAATTAATGAACAGAAAGATTTCTTTTTTTCTTCAAACTTTTCAACATAAATTAAGACAGCAGTGAGTTTGTGATGTCACTAATAAAATTATCAAGGCAGATTTTTAAATACATTGTGTTTCATAATGAAAAAATGAGATTAGCACTAAGTATTTAAGACTATTCAGTGGTTACCTAAGAAGATCCTAATATTACAGAGGATGCTTGTAAAGCTATAGGGAGTGCAAATTATTTACAGCATGCTCTCACTAAACATTACTGAGAAACATAATATGACTCATATTCTATTTTTGAGTAATCTTTTCTTGTCATTTTATGTTCCGTAGTTAAATTTTGAAGTTGAACCTGCCTCTTTTTTCTCTTCCTAACCAACAGCATTCAGTATTTAGCCTTAAAACTGTAGACCCTTTAAATACTGATGGATGATATTCTTTTACTGCAACTACAAAAGAGTGGGGTATACTCTGTATCATAACGTCTCATAGCTGCCTTTTCTTAAGTATGCTGAAAGAGTTCATAGCTTTTCTGTGAGAACATAGCCATGCATGTACTCTGAGAGGTGTCATGAAATATTCCTGCATCTGTTTACTTCAACACAAAGATGACTGATCTGCAGTCTAACAATATTGACTATGAGTCCTGTTTATCCTATGCTGGAGGTAGTATTGATTAAGAGTTAATATCACAGACTCTGACAACAGACACTGGGCAGCTTGCTAACCATCTCTGTACTTAATTTTTATACATTGGGTTAGTAATAAGACCTAGCCACATGGGGTTTTAGGATTAAATGAGTTAAGAAACACTGTATTGTTTGCTTTGCACTTTGCATTGTATTTGCATTGTTCAATAGTTATCACTTTAAGTTGCACCCCTTTGTACAGTTAAGCTTGCTTTTGTTTATCAGACTACAGGAAATAGACCCATTTACTATAGTAATGTATTTCCCTATCATTGTCTAACAGTGTGGTTTGTTTTGATAAGCTAAGAAGTTATTTATTTAATGATTGAATCCACTTGTGGACATCGTACCATGTGCGCCTGTTTTGCTAGATACTGGCAACAGGGCCATGAAACTGTTCTTTAGTTGCGTAGAGTAGTGATCTCGGACACAATTTTAAACATTACATCTTCATCAAAACTTACATACATACACATAAAAAATGTTTGCGATACATTATTTCTCTATGCTAGTGTATAGCTTTTATACTGTGCTCAAAAATGGAATTAAAAGCAAAAAAAATCTAGGAATAAAAATAAGAGTGAGCATCTCTAGTTCTATTCAAGTTATATTTTTGTTCTTGTTAGTGCTAAAGACAAATAATACAGATAAACAAAAGATGTCAAGAAATCTCATATGCAAAAAATCATTGCATAACATACTAATAGTAGTCGTAATCATAATCATGCTTTGAGATTTTGTAAAAAAGTATGTTCTGGAAAGGAAAAGAGAAGGACATAAAATTGAAAATGTTTCTCTTATTTTAAGCAGCCTAAAATATAAAACCCAGGAATCAAATCAGTACCACCTACACTTGCATGCTATCTTCAGCCTGCAGTGGTTAGTATTTACTTGTAAACATCTTACTCTAGTTCTTTTGATCTTTTAAAAAATCAAGGGGCTGAGCTGATAGCTCAGTGGGTAAAAGGGCTCGTTGCACAAACATGAAGACCTGAGTTCAGATTCATAAAAGCACACCTGTAATCCCAGCATCATAGCGCAGGGTGGCAGAGCAAGGGGATCCTTGGTGCTTGTTACCCAGCCAGTCTAGGCAAACAGTGAGCTCCAGGTTCAGTGAGACACTCTGTCTCAAAAAGTAAGGTGAAGAGGAATTGGGTAGCTATCCATAGTCAACATCTGCCTCCACATGCACAAACATGCATGCACCACACACAGACACACACACACACACACAATAATAGAAAAAGAGCCAGGGAGATGGCTCATTGTGTAAAGGTGTTTGCTTTCAAGCCTGACTTGAGTTGATCCCCAGGCATACACAAGACTTGCACATCGAGTCAGCCAAATTCCCAACATGGGTGGGGGAGGGGCTTATGAAATCCTACCCCTAGCTGAGGAGCTATTGGCAATTGATAGATGCTGAGGAAAGAAGTCATTTTCTTCAGGGATGTGGGCCTTGAAAGCCCATGCTCCAGTGATGGCCCTACACCCTTGCACATACTGACAGCACTATGTAGACTCAGCCAGAGTTTAAAAAAACAGCCCATGAAGTTGGGAGAAAAAAGTGGTAGGGGATATAGAGGAGGAGTTGAAAGGGAGGGACTAGGGATTGATTTAATCAGAACAGCATATGCATGTATGACAGTAAAACAATTTATTTTAAAAAGCCTTCAGGTAATAGTTGGAATAAAATTGCTTAACATAGTAAGTAGAATCGAGGCTGCTGTCTCGAAGTCCTGCTGAAGGGATCTCAGATACATTGCAAAGGTACAGGTGGAAGAATATAATGTCTAATTAGCTATCGTGTTTAATATTTATTCTGTCACTAGTAAATAAGACTTTATTTATTGCTTTTGATGCCTTTGGTTTTTACATTATGCCTAACTTGTATCCAAATTGAGATGTCATAGTCTAGCATCATACTATTTAAATTGAAAACTGTTTCATGATACTTTCAAGACATAATGATAAAGTTAGACTCAGGTTGGCTGATAGAACTTGGTCTGTGGTCAGCATGAGGTAGTTGTCTTTGAATAACTGTTCAGTTATTGCCACCATTAGCATTCATTGCAATGAAAGGTACAGTGTAATGTTAAGCCAATAAAACTGTATTTTGTAGAATGGTGGGAACTTTTGAAAGACCAATTCCTTGTTAAAGTGAAGCTTTTAAAGTTTTTTCACATAGCATTGTATCCATGTTGCCCTCCATTGCTGTGTATTCTAAGACTCGGAGGCAGAGCCTGAATATGATGTCACTTATCAAGGGTCACAAAAGGATGACTACATTTTATTGCATCTGGATTTTGTGCCATGTATCTAGAAGACACTGAAAAATATTTCCTTTCTGAATTTAAAACTAATTTAAATTGGAAAAACTGAGAAAAAAAAACTCTGTTTTGTTTTGCAGTGATCGGCATGTTGGTAAAATTTATTCCAAATGTTCTTCCTTTCTGGATTATGTCAAAATGTCTCTAAAGAAGCTTGGATTAGATGAGTCCAAGGTCAGTATTATTTCCACAAGAACTCCTTTAAGGTAGTGAACTTTTGTAATACAAAATAATTTACCTTCTACTTATTTTTACCACCTACAAAAAGTGTAAATTATGTAGAAATCAGACCTCTATTACTTTTATTGTAGTTCATCTTCCCTGTCAGATCTATAGAAGGTTTATTATTGTACACCAACACGTGGAGTCTGTCTTTGGTTTTTTGAGTTAAAGAAATGTGCTATTTCCCTATAAAATAGGGTTAAAAATCAGAAGAAAATTTTAAATGGAAATTAGAAATAAATAATGATTAATTTTAAAATAATTTATTGGCAGTTTTATAATAGTTTAAATTGTAAACAACAAATTCAAAAAGATTTTATATATGAGCATTCTGTAAAGGTGTAACATCACAGCAGATCCAAGCTAATAGAAAGCTGGTTGACAGCTAGTAATATATATTCTTCTGAGAAAAATATAAACTCTCAATATGACTCAAATGAGACAGTAACTGAAATATTAAATCAGACTGATAAAACTCTAGCATATTAAATTGATTATAAATTGAAAAATAATAATATATGTCTTAGTTTTTTATTTTGATTGCTATGATAAGATACCCTGACAAAAGCAATTCAGGGGAGAAAAGATTTCTTTTAGATCACAGCTCCAGATTATAGGTCATGTAGCAGGAAAGTCACAGTGGCAGGAGCTTTAGGGAACTGGTCATATCACATCTGTAATCAGAAACAAAGAGCAGTAAATGCATGCATGCTAGTGCTTAGCTTACATTCTCCACTCTTACACAGTTCAGTACTCTCCTCTGAGGAAGTGGTATCATCCACAGTGGACAAGTCTTCCCACCATAATTAACATAAGATAAACTCCACAGACATGCCCACAGGCCACATTGATCTAGTTCTTCATTGAGATTCTCTTTACATGTGACTCTAGATTGTGTCAAGTTGACAGTTAAAACTAACTATGACAGTATGAAATTATCTGTTTGAAAGAGAAAACTTATACAGACATGATTGCATTGCATCAAAGTTAAAGGGTACCAGCTGTCAATTTTCTCCTTATTTTCTAATTTCTTAAAGCAGCTAGACTAGTAGTGGTTTTTTGTTGTCTCCCTGTTAAATGGCTATAAAAGAGTTAAAGGTTTTAGGAATGATTAAATGAGAAGATATACATAAAAACCCAACATATATACCAAGTAATTGCTAACTGTATGGTACTTTTTTATTTTTAATATTTAAATGTTTTAAAATTCATTTTCATTGTATGTCTGTGAGTATTTTGCCTGCCTGTATGTAAATGCACCTGTTTTGTGCAGTGCCTGAGGAAGCCAGAAGAGGGCATCAGATCCCCTGGACCTGGAGTTACAGACAGCCTCAATGTGGGTGCTGGGCTCAGGTCCACTCAGCCAGTACTCTCAACTGTTGAGCCATCTTTCCAGCTCCCTTTTAAAAATATTTTTATTGATTTGAGAATTTTATACCATACGGGGGGAGAAAGAGGAATGAGAGATAAAGAATGCTTAAGTGGTATTAAAAAGAAATATAGTATTTAATAAGCCTACTGAAAAATACACATATAAATATGAGTCCATGTGTATAGCTGAAGGCTGTATATTAAAATCATAATGTATTGATCATATTCAGATCCCTCCCCTCTCTCCCCTTCTACTACCACCCCTGACTCCTGACTTCATGGTCCTTTTTTTTTTAAAGGCTTATCCACTCTAATTTGTGTTTCCTAAATGCTCTGGGGTGTGAGTCTATCCCTTAGAATCTAGTCAGCCTGTCAGTCATCAAAACAGTAAGGGAAAGCTGACTCTCCCTCTCCCAGATTCTATCATTTGCCAATAGATTCTCAGCTAGGACTGGGGCTTGCTGTCTCCCTCCTCCATTCACACTAGGCCCCTATTGAATTCGAGTGTGCACAGGTCTTGTGCATGCTGTCGTAAGTGCTTTGGGTTCATATGTGCAACTACCCTGCAGTGTCTAGACAACACTTTCCTTGTATTCACCTGCCACCACTGGCTCTTAAAATCTTTCCACCCCCTTTTCCATAATGATTCCTGAGCCTCAGATAGAGAGGTGAGATTTAGGTATCCCATTTAGGGTTGAACACTCCTCAATCTTGTAAACTCTGTGTGTTGATCAGTTGGGGGTCTTTTGTGTTAATTGCCATCCATTGCAAGAAGCTTTTCTGGTGAGAACTGAGAGATGTGCCAGTCAGGCTGAAGTAGCTCACAAGCCTTCATAGTGTGTTATCATTTTGATCTCTGTTTATTCCTAGGAATTATATACTGATATGATTCTCACACATATTTTTTACTTAATAAAAGAAGACTCTCCTACACTTGTGTGAAAGATAGAGTATAGATACAGCTATGTCTTACTTAAACTAAAAGTATACTATCCTTTGCCAAAAACCAAACAGGAAACATAAACAGAAATATTATTTACCCTTCCTTATTACTTTGTCTTCCCAGGTTTGTCATTAGTAGTAACCACAGTAAATGTTCCTCCATACATCTATTAGTATGTAATTAATAGAATATTACTAATGGTTAACATTTACTAAGCGCTTACTATGTGGTAGATAATATGCTAAGGATAATCAATCACATTGTCTCATTTACTCTTCATAAAAACATTTGCAATGACACTTTCTGCTTGGAAATCTGCACTCAATCCCAGAATGTCAAGGGTTAAATAACAACAAAATCCTTAATACTTAAATATTTTAGAGAATGAAATCAATAAGGCAAACCACTGGACCTATCCCCTTAAAACTGGAGTGAGTCAGAGGCAATTCTAGGGAATCACAACTTACAGGAACAAATCTTAAAAATACAACCTCTGTATATCAATGACCACAGTAAGAAAAACTGACAATTTACTGGAGGTTCAGTGTGGGCAGCTGAGAATGGAAAACTGTAGAGGGTCTCACACAGTCCTAAGGAACACCCACACTTTTGTGAGTTTTTTTTAAATATTTTATTTATTTTATGTGTATAAGTGTATTGCCTGCATGTATGTGAGTGCACCTGTGTCATGCAATGCCACGGAGGTCAGAAGAGGGTTCGGATTCCCCTGGAACTGGCATTAAGGGCGGTTCATAGCTGCCATGTGGGTGCTGGGAATCGAACCCGGGTCCTCTGCAAGAGCAGTCAGTGCTCTTAACTGCTGAGCCATCTTTCACGTTTTACCACTGTGAATGAAATCTGGTTCTGGTGAACACTTGAGAAAAATCTCATTCTTCTAGCAAGGAAAGAGGAAGAGTAACTATTCTTAAATAAGTCAGTGCATTCTATTCTTCTTAACAAGGTCTACCTCTAAAGAAACACTATTTAACCAGAGCCTAACCTGCTAGAGTTCTATCATTGCAAATACCCAGCTTTAGTAAACTTTATCAGATCTGTCCCACCCAAGATGAAATCAAGATGCTGAGAAGTACTGGTGAATTTCAGTCCAGAAACAGGCTCAATGATAGACAAAGATGCAGGCCTAAGAGTAGAAAATGCTTCACACCCTACACCTACACCCTCCTCCTTACCTCACACACCACACAGTACTTTTTATAGAGTACAACATGTTTGACCACCAAGAAAAAATTATAAGGCATACTAAAGAGAATAAGCAAAGTTTGAAGATATGAAATCACCATAACCAAATTCAGACATGACAATTGATAGGGAATCATCAACCAGTAACTTCAGGTGGTTAGTATTTTAACCGTTTAAATTGATAAACTAGAGAGCAGACAAGAACAGTTGGACATGTAAGGAAAGAGATTTTAGGAAGTCTACGGTAGAATGAAAAGAAGTTCAAGATCTTCAAAAGTGCTCTAACTGGAAGGATGAATGCTTTTTTGGACTTAGTGCACTGAACATAGCCAAGCAAAGAACCTCTGAGCTTGAGGATATTTGAGTAGAAAACTCATAAAACTAAAATAGAAAATAAACACAGACATAATAGTTTTATCAGAACAAAAACAGAGTAAAAGGAAGCAATAATTGAATTAGTAATAATGGAGATGCCTCCAGGTGGCTGGTTACCAAACCACAGATCCAGAAAACTGGAGACCACCAAGCAGGCAAATAACAAGAGAATACATTGAGATGGATATTTTTCATCAACAGAAAATAAAAAATTTTTAAATGAAGGAAGGTAGAATTAAAGGACATCTTACCTATAGAACAAAGACAAGAACTGCATCCAAGTTCTCAGAAACCTCACAATTAGAAAGTAGAAGGAAATAATTAAAATGTTGAGAGAAAAAAAGCATTGACGTATAATTCTTTAGCCTGTTAAATTATTATTCAAGAAATGAAACAGAAATACTTTTTCAGACAAATAACAATTGAAGGAACTTGTTACCATCAGACCTGCCATGCAAGAACTGTTAAGGTAAGTAATAGATATCAAGTGTAATCTTAGCTCAAGTAACTGGTTTCAGCATTCAAATACCGTATGGATAGATGCTAAAAAACAAAACATTGACTAAATCCAATGATAATTCATGATTTAAAAAAAAAAATCAGCCAGGTGTTGTGGTGCATGCCTTTAATCCCAGCACTCAGGAGGCAGAGGCAGATGGATTTCTGTAAAATCCAGGCCAAGCTGGTCTCCATAGCATCTGGGGATACATTGAGACCATGTCACAAAAAAAGCCTCAGTAAACTACAAAACTTTTTCAACTTGGTGGAAGATAGCTACAAAAACCCTACATGTAACAAGACCTATAATGTGAGAAATGCAAAACTTTCCCAGTAATGAGAAACAAAGCAGGAAGGTCTTTTCTCCATGCTTTTCAACAATCATAATTATTGGCTAATGTAATAAGAGGAGAAAAGGAAAAGAAAGGTACACTCATTGAGAAGAAAAAAAGAAAACTGTCCTGGTTCAAGGTGGCATGGTCATCTCCATAAAAATTCTGAAGAAATAATAAACAATTGGAAATCATAAATTAAAGCAAGGTTGTGAAAGACAGCAGTGGACTTT